TGCCTGTTTAAGTGATGAACTCCATTACTTGTGTTTGTTTTCAGACATGATAACAGACGTTTTATACGTGTGCTACGACTTTTTGGCCTGTGCTACAAAACTTTCAACCTCTGTAGCACCAGTGCTATGTGAAAAAAAAGTTACCGTACAGCCCTGATATATATATATATATATATATATAAGACTTTATATATGTAAGCTAGCAAAACTCTGACTTGTATTTGATTGAAAAAAAAAGAAAAACCTCTGTATATCTTATTTTTAGTGTTGTATTTTCCTGCTATAGGATGAAAGGTAGGATAGGGGAGCGCAGTGTGGGATACTGTTTGAACTCCTTCAGGTAGCTGCGATGCTTTCCTTTGGCCCAAACCGTCATCTGTACGAATCCCACCACAGTGAAGAACAACACAGGGACACACTGGGTCATGAGTGTGAAACCGAGCCAAGATCCCATCTACAGAAATACAGCAACAGTGCAGCTTTAGTGTCTGTTATTTAGGCCTATACTCAATGAGACCAGCAGGGGTCAGCATTTCATTACAGGACCAGTTCACACGGGACACATTCTTGTCAAGGAACTCTTTAGAGTACTGCAGGGATGACATATTTTTGTAGGCCAAAATCTGGAAATGAGTTAGAATTTTAGCTCTTCTGGTTCCATTGTCCAAAGTCTAAGGCTTTTTTTTGGTGAAATGCCTGAAATAAGGTATGTGTTCACACAAGCTTATTTTCACGTTTTATTCCATGACATAAAATACATCAGTAAAACCCCCTTGTGTTTTTTTTAAGCGTTTACTTGTCTTTATTTTTATTTTATTTTATTTATTTTTGGCAGTTGCTAACAAGTGGATAACTGGGACTACAGAGGCTGCCTTTGCAGTATGCAACATTGACAGCTAGCGGTTGAAATGGGTACTGCAGTCAAAATTCAAAATATTGTTTCTCCCGCTCCCTCCTCCTCAGACTCGACACTCATGAGGGTTGCCAGATTGAGAACACAAGCGCAACAGGTAATTAATATTTTTTTTTTAGGTTAGGTAGAATCTGCAATCTCTGACCCAGTTAGTTTACTGGCTTCCACTGACTGCAAAGCGCTATGTTTTCAGCCAAACCTGGGGTGTCGAATTGGGTATATTAGAAGTGGGCGGAATCACACAGATCAAAACAAAACTGGACATTCCGACATGGAACACACATTTCAAAATAGATCAACTGGCTGTAACGTTGTTTTTCGGGGAAACAAGTTACAAACTTATCATGTTTCTTTAATATCTGCAAACAGTGCAGCCTATTTTTTTATGCTTCAGTACTGTCAAAAAATTACATACAGCACTTTTAAACATCACACTGAACAGGTAAATACTAGTCCACTTTTACAGCCTCACTGTGTTTATAATCACACTCTTTCAAACTATTATAACTTAAACTTTCAGGGAAAATGTTTTTTTAAATAAAGAAAGAATTTGTTTTTATCAGCTGTTTGGACTCTCATTCTGACGGCACCCATTCACTGCACAGGTGAGCAAGTGATGTAATGATAAAATTATCCAAATCTGTTCCGATGAAGAAACAAACTCATCTACATCATGGATGGCTTGAGGGTGAGTACATTTCCACCAAATTTTCATTTTTGGGTGAAATATGCCCATGCTGCAGTTCGTTTATAGCCTACATTCAGCTTTTTTACTTCTGCCGACTGTATTTAGGCTTTAAAATTGATAAAATCTGTTTTCATTTCTGAGGATTATCATGATGAACAAAATGTGTAAGAATCATAAACTTTTGTTGGCCACTGAGCATATTTTCTGCAGTAATCCAAAAGCCAATGGAAAATCCCAAAGGGTTTTTGTCAAGAGAACCAGACAGATGTCAACTTAAATGTCGGCCTACAAAAATAATCATAATCACTGCAAAACTCTATAAAGACATGGAATCACTCACAATGCAATCAGCCATGGGTCTCACCTCATATGTGTAGTTTGGGCATGAAACAAGAGCAAATATCCATGTAAAAGGATTTTTGGTTGGATAAGGAATCTTCTTCGTCTTACAGCCTTCATAAAGAACAATTGACTGCGTTATATAAACAAAGCCAGAGTAGTTGACTTGAGATTTGTGATTTCTTTTATAGATCTTACCAGGTAGTTTGAGATTGCGCAGAGCCATGTGAATCGAGAAGCTGCCAAGTTGACAGAACTGCAAAAATCACAAATCAGTAAGTAAAGAACGCTGATGAGACAAATACAGAAGTCAGTGCCATCAAAGTGCTTACTAGAAAGATTCCCAGTGCTGCCTTCACCTGCTTCTCCCCATAATCTGCATGTAAACAGACTGGCTTTAAGAACAACGGTTCAATGCATTTAACATACCATAATAATTTAAGCGACAACAAACATGGTGCAGAGCATTTGAGTGAGATGTTACATACATGGCGGTGTGTAGAGAGGGTGATTGATATAATAAGCCATCCATGCAGCAGAGCACCAGTAATAGGAACAGATCTGTTAAAGAAAGAATCACATGTGATTTACAGACTCCTTGTTTGCAACATAACATAACTGTTTGATTGTCTTTAACTGAAAGATTAAGATATTATTCTTTTTATTTTGCATTTTTATCACGGCATATACTGAAGGCATGATCTAATCTTCATAAAGTGAAAGGCACATCAACTTAAAGACCCCAAAACACTGTTGAATGAGTGTTGTTCTTTCCTCTCTTGATGCAGTTTTTAATTAAACATGCATCAACAGCCATGAATATTATTTATTTGCAAAAAATATTGTCTAGGAGTCATCGATATTCTTTGATTGTTTTCCTGGACGTGAAGGTCTGTATTTGAAATGATGTCTGCTTGATGTTTATTTTTCACATTTAGGAGTATAGATGACCTCAAAGCTCCAACCCACATACAATCTTTTTTTTTTTTTTTATTATTTCATAACTGAACTTGCTAAAAAACTAAATAAATCCTAACATGTATCAGTCACACACTGCTGCCTTCTGGGATGTATATAAATATAAATTACACCAAAAAAAAAAAACACAATTGCGAGGCATCCTCACTTTAAAAATGTTGCGAAATGGCATGGTGCCGTGGGAGAAGCGATGGACAAACAACGTCTCCAAGATTCGCTTCATGTAGTGGAAGGAATGACACACACAGGCAATACTGTGGAGAACAGACAGAAGCTCAGTTCAGCGAGTTCAGGTTAATACCAGATCATCAAATAAAAGTGTATTCCTGAGACACATCAATCAAATGCTTTTCAACATAATTCCCAAAATACAGTTCTGGGTCAGTATCTTGGTTAACCAGTAGGTCAGCTGTTAGGAGACACTGTTCCCACTGTCTGGACTGAATCCAACAGACTAAACATGTGACGGCACTCTTCTTCATGATACTTACTGCACAACCAAATGCTTACTGGCGGTGAACTCGTACTTGGGAGCGTAGATTAAAGGCAGTCGAAAATAAAACAGCAGATATATGACAAGTGGTCCAATGCACTCGATTAGGAACACCTGCAAACACACATTCACAAACACATTTTAATTCTCTAAAGTGAAGTATAGTGCGTACCTCCCATGTGCTGACATCATCCCTGCCCCGTGGGAGTCAGGACAGGAGTGGGCAAAGGGGGCTACGCATGCAGAAGGTGAACGGGATCAACACCTGTGGGGAAACGGTGCCAGAGAGATTATAAGTTCTGAGAAGAAAACTGAACCAGAGGCCTGTGCACACACTGTACAGCCACTGATCTGACTTTTACATTGAACCAAATGGCCTATAACATGCCAGTGAAAGATTATAATACTGAAGCTAAATTCTGATGAGCCACGTTCAAAGCCATTGTAAAATGCTACTAATTGCACAGATGTGACCGCATGTTATTAACTTTGTTATCTGGAACACAAAAGAAGTTAGTAGAATGTCCAGGCTGCTCTTTACCATACACTATCAAAAAAAATGATTTCCAGTGGAGTCAGTTATCTTACTGTTCAGAAGACCTTTTGTGTTTTAGATGGAATTCTCATTTTCGATTTTGGGTCAACTTTCACTGAAAATAATAAAATACTGTACATGTGATACTTCAGTATCCTGTTTATTATCTGTGATTTATGGGAACTCACCCAGCACCGTTTTCAGAGAATGGCTCATGTGTATTAGTGTGCACCTGAGCTTGCATGTGTTTCTTTCAGTGGTTCTCGACAAGAGGCCTTCTGCATATTTGATAGGATAAGACTATGCACATATGAAAATGAGTAGCTTTATCATTAGAGCAGTGGTCCCTTAAATATTGTCTTTGACAATGGGGGCCTTGGAGTAAAGGTTGAGAGCCGCTGCTACGTACATGTGATAATTGTTTCAGTTGTTATTTGTGTGCTTGGCAAAACACTCACAGTTCCCCAGGCAATCTGGGCTCCCAAGTCTCTGAAGTAGAAGGTTGCAGTGGTTCCCACAGGGAGCTCCTGGAGGATTTCCTCATCTCTTAAGGGTTTTCCTTCTGAAATCAACAATATAACACAACGATTAATGTTCTCTTCACATATATAGTGGCTTAAAAAAAGGATATGGACACCAACTAATTTCACTTAGTCTGTGTTATAAAACAGAAGAATGCAACAGGGTAATCCAAACAACAGGTTTTGGCTGATACACATGGAGAGCGGGTGAGTATATCAGTAAAGCAATGCAGAGGTATTTCAGTGACTAACAGTCTTATCTTTGCAGCTTTGGATGAGGTGGTGTTGGTGAACCTGATCTGGAGATTGGATGCAGAGGATCATGCAGAGGTTAGTTATATTAGTACGTCAACTTTTCAACTGTTTTGAAATCAAATAAATAAACAGCGGTACAGTGCAATCACTTGCTTCAATGTTATGTTGTAAATAAACAGCATTAACATATTACTCGTTACTAAGTTTAAAGCTATACTCACTTGGGTCAAGGCATAACGACTGTCTGGCAGGATACCAGTGTGGATCTGTGAAAATTGAAACCTGACATGTAAGACTTTGCTAAAACCATTATTTCTATGTCATCAACGTATCATCTTCCTTGTAGAAAGCTATTTAAAGAAAGGCATTGCAGTTTCATAGCGTCTTTAGCACTGAGCAGAACTTACTTGATTTGTGGAACAAAGACTTAATGTCCAAAATAGTGGCTGTTGGCTCTACCTGCAGAAGGATAGCCAGCTGCTAAATATCCACATTCTGTTTTGCAATTATAATACATAAATATGTAAATACACAATATACATATGCAATATATACAGTGTTACTCTTTGCGCTTTTCCACCTCATGCAGTCATAAATCAGGTTTACTCTATTCTCAACATGCATGTCTAAGCAATGGATCTAACATAGGAATTCCTGGAAGCTCAGAGGAGATTCTCATGTTCCAAAAGCAACATGACTAATGCAGAACCCGCCTGATAGTGACCGCTTTATTATTACAAAGTTACAGCATGTGCACTAGTTGTTCTCGCATTACTGTTAGCTATCTGTCATCTATAACAGCCGATGATTACAGATGATTTCTTTACTTCTCTGTATTATGTTCAGCCTGGAAGTGTAAACACAGTGATTAAATATACTATTTTAATATCATAACAACATCTAGAGTCATGGAGGGGGGGGGACAGCTAAAACCAGCATAAGCTGTTGACTGGTTTTAGCTGGTCTCCAAGTTGGTGTTCAGCTGGTTGGTCCTAACCTGCTAAGACCCACTTGATCAGCTAAAGAAATAGTTAAAACCCCAGTAAAACCAGCCTGCAAACCAGCTGTGAACAGGCTGGAAGACTAGCTAAAACCAGCCAACAGGTTTCACCTGTTTTTTTCAGCAGGAACACGATTCACAAGTAATGGTTTGTCATTTGTATGGTATTTAAGTTTGTAAAACACATTAAAAAGCACATACCTTATCCAGAAGCAGTAGTTTTTCCCGGGTTTTGACGTCTAGTATCTCCACCTCAAAGTAAACAATTCGTTTCGCTTTTTGGGGGGGTTTTGGTCTGGGTTTGGGGGCTGCCGGTGCTGCTGCGCTTTCACTCTTAGCCCCTTTTGCCTCTAAAGCTAATGCATCCATGATACTTCTTCCAACTTATTGCACACTGAATCCTGTGTTTAGTCCGTAGTTCAAAGGTCTTTCTCACACCCCACACATCTCTCCTAAGTCCTCAAGCCTCAGTTCTTAATAATAAATCCAAAATCCAGCTCTCCGTTGAATGCAGTGCAGACGGAGAGGAGAAGCGACAGAGAAGGTCGGTGTGAGTGAGTGCAGTGTCACTGAAATATCTCCCACCTCTTAACACCTGAGGGGTGGCCATCACAACCACTCCTCTGAAGACGAAACCTGAGAGTCCCAAGACATAATCCATGGCTTTTCATGAAGCTAAATTTATATGCCTGCTTTGCTGAATACAGCCCCGTGACCTTGTGGGACTCGGACCAATCCAGTTGGCTGTGGCTCTTACCTCCACACCCTGTCTCTTTTTGAATTAGGATAGCGTGCATCTGTACAGCAGCAGTGTGTGTCCGAGGAATATTAATACATCTGCCTTGCAAGCAGAGTCATGCAATGGCTCTGTCAGGACATCTATTTGAGTTTGACCATGGTCACACCAGTGATTGGGCTTGCCTTGGAGTCAATAAATAAGCCACTTCTGAGGTCCCTAGAGGTTCTCCCATTAGGTTTGGGCAGGTTGTTGCCATACAGAAGCCATCTGTGTCTGTCAGCAGTAAGTAGATCAGACAAACATATGATAGGCAAAGTGTCTTAAGTTATCTGGTATATTTACCGTCTTTAGTTTCCATCAGCTGTTCTCAAGCTTTGAGGAATGCAAAGGATTGTACAGATAAAGATATTATTATTATTATTATTATGAATTATTTTTATTTATATTTATTTTTAGTAATTGTATTGTGTGTTTTTGTATTTTTTGTAGTTTTGTATATGTTTATAAAGCTTTTATAGCTATTTTTAAAGCTTTTAATTTTTATTATATTTATTTTAGTACATAATTTAATTAAAATTATAATGAAATAAAATGTATTTAAATAAAATGAAAAATGTTGCATTGGAACTAGCTTATTTTATTTTATTTCAGGTAACATTTATTTTATATTTGACAATACAGAACAACAGATTATATTTTTGTTTGACAGGTTAATCACATAATTTAAATTTGAATCATGAAAGTGTTTTTTTTTTTTTTTTAATGAAAATATACGGTCCCTTTTTTTAAGGAAAAAAATGCTAATCTAATACTGTCAACACCACAAATACAGCATACCTTATAAAGTAAGTTTTCAGAAATGACAGGGTATCATTGAGAAAAGGTTTATCATTAAGCTAAATAAATAAATAAATAATACTGGAGTGACTCAAAAATATGTAGGCCTACAATATATTAGAAAATGTTCCATGTCTATTCTATTCTATTCTATTCTATTTCTCCCAGGAAAAATCAACCCGGTCTCATGAGATAAAGTAACTGTATTACGAGGTGGTATTTTTGTGAATTCATGTTGTGATTCATAAAGAAACTTTTTTTTTTTTTTTTAAAGAAAAATACAAATATGAAGGCCCAAAGACATGAAATAATTACAAATTGCCATGAGAGTGTGTTGGGAAAAATCAGTGTTCATTGAAGTAGCTTTGATTTGATATAATCCTAAAATGTTTAGTAGAAATGTGTAATGTCAATGTGTAATGCTCAGCTGAAATGTCTCAGACAAGTTAAGCGAGAGTGAAGACAGCCTATATTTGTTTGCCTACTTCAACTGCTCCAAATGATCGTGGTGTGCTGACCGTGCATGCATGGAATCAAACAAGAGCTCATATTACGTTAGTTAGACTATTACATTTTGATTTGCAGTAATACTGTGTCCTTGTCTAGACATGAGTCTAGATGAGTGTTACACCACTCTTGGTCTGTTTCCACAATTCACAGCTGAACTAAACATTTAAAACATGAGAAATATACATTTTCGAAGCAATGTGTTATTAAGACTCCTTATATAAGTGTATGATTAGTCTAAGTGGCATGTCATGAAAGCTCTTCAATGGTAGATCATTTCATTTTTTGAAATACCTTGCAGTGCTGTTCTCTGTATAGGTACGCTATCATTACTATTCAGTATAGGCTACTGCACTTTTTTGTATAAGGACTGCGAGACTACTGTAAACAACTGCTCAGCTCCAGCTATGTTTGGAATAGGCATACTAACATAGCACTCTTACTATTTCTGTAGTATATAGTACAGTGTGTGATACTGTGCACAGTAGGCCTAAATGATTTTTCTGTCTAGGCCTACATATAAATACCCAAATGATCTACTGCATTATATTTGCCAAAATAAGCATACAAAAATGCATACGTACTGTATATTGCATCCTAACACACAATGAAATGTGCGCTCATCAAAATACAAAAACTAGTTTCTTAGGACCAGCACATGACCATATGTTTAAACCAGCTCATGACCAGCTAAAACCAGCTTAAACAAGCTCAAACCAGCTCAAACCAGCAGCCATGCTTCAAAACATACCTAATTAGCATATGCTGTTTTTTTTCAACAGGGATGTTACCAGGTGATGGGACAAATACTAAAATGTGATTAACTTTCCTAGAGATGGGATGTTTGACACTGAGGCTCCGAAGCCTGTTTTACTCTATCGAAGCAGAGTGGCTCGAAAGACTGTGTTGAGGCTTCATACGTCACAATGAAACACCTGAAGCGAGGTGACGGATTTGAATCTTTGGCGCAGCTTCATTCATTATAAGGAGACGCGAAATGCTTGGTGTTCCCTCCCTGCTTCATAGTAACATAGTAACACTTTCATGTGTGGACAATGATTCTCTGAATGAAGACACAGCTGCTATTGCTGAGTATTGCTTTTGTGTTGACTCTGGAATCAACAAGATGTGTGAATAATTTGAAAGTGGCATTTATAATTGCAGCTGACCACTAAATGTGACTGGTAGGGTCTGTCTTTGAGGCTTTGAATCTTTTTTGGTACAATCAGGGAAATGCCTCAAAAGCTTCACAAGGCTTCATCTGCCCATCTCTAAACTTTCCATTTTCTGTGTGGGTAAGATTTTTTTTTTTGAGTCATTATTTGGCTTGACTGCCAAAATTATTTATACAAAACTGAAAATGCGATGTAAAATAACTGTGCCCACTCAACATAAGGTCATGTTGTTAGCATATGTGAGTATGAACATGAGTTACCAATAGCATAAACCTAGTTTTACTTGCTGTTTTTAAAATAAAAGGCACTATATGGTGTATACTGTACAATATTCAGTTAGTAGTAAGGTCGTGTTCATTACTAGCTTACTACTGCTCAGGGGCGGACTTAGTGATTTTTGTTTGAATTTCTTTAAAATTACACAATTTAAAAGCTGAGAGTCCTGAGACCTTGTTTCATACCAGAAGTAACCTGCTCGGTCTTCTCTCTTTTGTCAGTTTCCTCTTTGCTCTGCGATGTATTTTTCACTGCGTGAGAACATGATGTGTGGTGTGAGAGCGGCATTGTTTTCGGGGATAGCAACAGTAACTAAGGAGGGCAGGTCTTTGGAGAAGGGTCTGTTACGCCCCCTTCCAGTTACGCCCCTCTCTTGCAGTCCGCAGACAGACACTCTTGGGGTCCGCAGACAGACACTCTTGGGTCTTTGCGAACATGCAGTGCACACTCCGCGCCGCAAGAGGCGCTCGTTCAGTCACATCTGCAGCATCTGTCACTGCAGCCGCTGAGCAAGTCATTTTTCTCGGACTTTCTGCGGACGCTCGGCGACGTTGACAACTAGATTACAGTGCGTTTCGCCGGGAACTCTGTGATATTAAAGTTTTACATCGATTAAAGTTAGAAGAGTCTTGGGAAAATGATCGCATATTGGAGGGACGCGGCAGTGGCTGTGCGCGATATGTGAGGATTTGGATAAATAACTTAAAAACAGTTTGATAAATTCCATCCGAGCGCTTCACGTTCGACAGGATAGGAGGAGGGGGATCGTTTAAAATTAGTCCGATCGGTCAATATTCGGAGGATATCGACATATGGAAACGGGTAGTTGAACAACAGCGGGGTTTTAGTCGAGTGTTGTGATGGGTAAAGATTATTACAGGATCCTGGGGCTAGCGAAGGGCGCCTCAGATGAGGAGATCAAGAAAGCCTACAGAAAACAAGCTTTGAGATTTCATCCCGACAAAAACAAATCAGCCGGAGCAGAAGATAAATTCAAAGAGATCGCCGAAGCTTACGATGTCCTGAGCGATGCCAAGAAGAAAGACATCTATGACAGATGTGGAGAGGATGGTAAGAGCTGTCATTGTCCCGCTATAGATAAAGGGATAGATAGATAGATAGATAGATAGATAGATAGATAGCCCTTAGATATATAGATAACGTTAGATAGATAGATAGATAGCCCTTAGATAGATAGAGAGATAGATAGATAGATAGACAGCCCTTAGATATATAGATAACGTTAGATAGATAGATAGATAGCCCTTAGATATATAGATAACGTTAGATAGATAGATAGATAGCCCTTAGATAGATAGAGAGATAGATAGATAGATAGACAGCCCTTAGATATATAGATAACGTTAGATAGATAGATAGATAGCCCTTAGATAGATAGAGAGATAGATAGATAGATAGACAGCCCTTAAAATGTACTGTGTGGCAGAATAATACACCTTTTAGTACTTTTTGTAAGGATAGCTACACACAATGATATGCTATTAATTAAGCTGTGGAAACATTGTTGTGGAAATGAATACAATTGAAAAGGAAACAAGTCACATTGTATTGTTTATTAAAGGTGTAGATTGTAGATATTTCTTTATTATTATTATTATTGTTATTACTATCATTATTATTTAAAAAGAGACATGCCATGTGCCCTGATATGTGTTTCTGCTTTTCGGTGGTACCCTAAAGGCCCCGATATACTCACCGCAAAGTTTTTTTATTGTTCTTCACTCAAGGGTAAAAAAAATAAGTTTTAAAAGTGCATAAAATAATATATATATATATATATATATATATATAAT